ATCGTATCTATTTTCTGATTTGTACAATTAAACGGCTAATTTATAAAAATCTTTATAAAAGATCTTTCAACGGTTTCACGTAGAAAACATTTGATTCTGTTCAGTAACTTTACAGCGTTCATTTCATGAATGAAACAGACTTGCTGGATGAGAGATGATCGTTATGGAAGGTACTTAAAGCTTGCGTCGACAAATCTTTCTTACTCGCAATATATTCTTTAACCTCCTCTTTTCCTAGGGTAGAATAATATTTATAAAGTACTTGAAGGCTGGCTTTCGTTCAGTTTGAACTTCTCGCCAGAGATTTAATACTGCTTACGTGCTTTTTCGAGATCGTCAAACATGCACCGAATTTTCAAACAAAAATCGCATTATTTATAACAATAAGTTTTGTTTAATTATCGGAAACTTTATGTTAAAAAACTTACTTACTTTATGTTACTTTATGTTAAAAAAAAGCGTCTGAAAGATTAGAATTAAGTTAAATATATGTAACCTTGTGATTTAAAAGTATTACAAAAATAAAAACAACATAATTATTGCATTGTAATCTAATTGCAGAAAATCATATAATTATAATATTGTTTATATATGTATAATTATTAGTTTCATTATCTCTCTTTCTAAATTTTGTTAAGGTAATATAAATTCTATTCTTTCACAAGTGTTAATGCTAGATGGTAATCACTTAAAAATATTTGCGTAATACGTTCTTACCCGGTCATTAAAGACTCTTTAATTATATGAAAGAGAGCAGGAACAGTTATAATGTCTAAAGATAAAGACAGTTAAGAGAAAAGGGAAGGCAGTTGTAAAAGTTGGATGGTCAATAGGGATTTATCACGCATAATGTTCCCTAAGAGTTCGTATTTTTGCATAATGATGATATCGTGTAATTGACGATGTGATTGCAAATATCACAGCAGAGTATACTTAATTTTAAACAAAAATATGTATAAAGATAATAAAAAAATTTTATTTATTTACACAATATTTGCTGCAAATTGATAAAATAATTTGCAGCGAATAAAATTAAATGTTAATCAAATTAAAACGTCAATCGATTAAAATGATAAAAAATATTTTTCTCTTTGAATTGTATTAAGAGCAATTGACTTTACGAATGGAGATAAAACTTTCGTTAATAATTAAGAAGCCAGAAGTACGAATACGAAGAAAGCATATAAAGAAAAACATTGATTACAAGTTCTGTAAAAGTCTCATTCCTAAGAAGACTCTTTTACGAACAATGTCAAACAAAAATAAAATTTTTGCAACGACGTTAATTGTCCTTCAAAATGACTAATGATATATTTTCACGGTTGGCAATTATCGTTAACGTAATTAATTTATTATTACAAAATCTAAACAAGTGCTTTTCATTAATATCTTAATATCTTTTATGAGTTACAAACCGATTAAAAGTGTTTTGAAACAAGTAAAAAAAACTAGGATTTATAACAAAGATTTATAATAGCGTTGACATTTATATCGTGTTAACACTCGTGAATAAAAGAAATATTATATTTTCATCAAGTGTGTGTGATGTTTGCGGCGTTTAATTATGCTGCTACTTAATTATTCATAACTTCCATAATATTAATACATATATGCAGCTTGTTACCGGTAATTAAAATTTGCATTTCCGTCTATTTATACAGTTAATAAACTTTAATTGTTGTTGGATAAAAATCTAGGCTTATATCTAATCCATATCATAAGATATCATACAGATAAGAATTATATGTAACATTCTTACTTCTTTCTTTTAATTCAAGCATTTTATAAACGACATTCAATAATATTGTTAATTAGTTAATATTATTTACAGATTAAACTTTTAAATTTTTAATGATTTAAAGAAATAAAAGATTCAAATTGTAATGCTAGAAACAATTATACAAATTAAGCAAGTCAAGTTATTTACAATCAACAAAAACAGAACAAAAATTATAATTAAGATTTACTTCATATCAAAATGCGGGAGCTAAAGCAAAACAAATAAAATACACGTTAAACGAACATAGCGCCTGTCACACGCCGCGCGAATAGTTAAACACGTTACAGTCGTAGCTACAGGTTGTTACAATATTTCGCGAAACTGAATCGGTCGGTTGCCGTATACACCTCGAATACACTGAACATCTTTCACGACAGAAGACTACGGACTTCGTCTCTCAAACTCTTATTGACACGTACCGTGATGTACGTGTCGATAGAGAATCGAGAAAAGGAGCAAAAGAAACATATATTCTCGGTGGACCAACTGCCTCGCCATCATCTTTAGTTTTCCTTCGTCTTATCCGACCTAATTTTCAAAATTGTTAAGTATAAAGTCATATCTATAAGCTCGATTATAAGCAAACTAGTAATTGCCTGTATTGTATGCTGTTTGAAAAGAGTTAGATAGTTAAAAAGTATTAAATCTACGAAATATTTCTAAAATACATAATTTATATCCTGAAATTTCGTATATTATATTGTATATACAAAATTCAAATTCTACTTTTGTTATAAATTTTTTATTTAGCGATAAAAAATTATTAAGGCAATTGCTGGCATTCGTTTCTTCATATTGCACGTTGCCAGCATTTCCGCAAGAAACATAAAATATTTATGTAGACACACCTATTGAGGAGTAGTGAAATTTGAAATTTTACTATCGAAAGCAGCAAGTACTTTAGTTCTTGCAAACTAAAGTACGTATCCACTTTCTGCCAGGTGCAGCAGCTTGCGCATTAAATCAGGCAAAATAAAGAGATAAATGTTGGAAACAGTAAAATATGCATTTCGAGCATTATTCAGTCACGACATACGGACGGCAATTGGCAATATTTTTATACAAATGGCAATTTCCTTAAACAATCACCTGTTCTATATTACTTAATGAATTTAAGAAAAATCAATCTACAGCTTTGTAAATGACGATTGAAAAGTGGAAATCAATTTTATTACGCGGTACTATTTAAACGTATTTATAAGTGTAACATTTACGCGTAATATATTTTGTTAAGCTTTTTGAAAACGTTTTTATTCTATGCGTTATCAAAGAATTACATTTAATGTTATATAAGTAAATAATGTTGTTATCCTTGTGGATAATTTTGATTGCAAACCATGAGAGCATTTCGTGCATTAAAATTAATATCAAATCTAATTTGGCTTTATTTTCTATATTATATTATATTCGTAATTAATGTATGCAAATTCCACTATTATAACAATAATAGTTGTAACAGAAATTTGTTTATTTACGTATGGAATTACATTTTATCTGTATCTGTTTCAATTCTCATCTGGACAAAGATCAATCCCATTCTCGTAAAGATAATTTGTTGCCTATTAAAATCGAATCTATGCGCATGGATGGTACAATGCGTGGATTGTTCGTTTAACGATACAAATAAATAATAACCATTTTCGAATAGGTATAGGTAGTCGATATTATGTCGACGTATTCGCTGCCATACCGCACTCATAGCCATTATACTACATTATACTCTACTACGTACAGTCATCATTTTATGCACGCGACCATCATTTCAGGAATGCAATTGGAGATCGGTATTAGCGTTGATGCACGCCTGATTCGAATTGACGAATCTTGCGCTTGAATGAACATCAATCGAATTTGCGCTTAACAAATTTGCCAAATTACTTTTGTGCGTAACCATTATGACATCTCAAATTTTCATTGACTTGATAAGTCGTCAAAAGCCGAGAAGGACATATACACATGAATTAAAATAGTATTTGCATATTTTCTCTCTCAGTAAATTTACACAAAACGCGAATAATATTAGGTACATGAAACATGAATAATTTTACGGAACAGAAAGATATTACTGTAAAGACGTTTCAAATGAAATATATTGTTATTATTTGTACTAGAGTGTCACATAAAAAAATTTTATGATAACATTTTTCTTCATTGCGCAAAATATTAACCCACGAGAAGATGGGGTGTGCAAATACTTTTTTTTACCACATTTATATTTGCTCCCCGCAACGTTAGCTGAGCTAACATACGTAGTATGTTGGAGATTAATAGCTATGCGGTGACCAATAACTATACCGGTTTTATCCCATTTCTCTTCCCGCAGTCATACAAAGCGCGTTTATAGCGAAAACATTTATAGCGGAACAAGATTACGGGGAAACGAAACACTCAATCAACGATGTAATCTAATTTAAGCTAAATTGGAGATATATTGTATACATGGCAGTCTTTGCGTGCGTATTTAAATAGGTACGTTACATCGTTCGCAATATTCTCAGGAAGCGTAAAATGAAAACCCATCTAATTAATTTTGTACGAATGTCTCGTGGACAAAGAATGATGTTATCAAAGGATCAAGCTAATTGTCAAAAGATGAATTAAGTTACTACATATCTATTCGATAGAAAATTATTAGTTTCTTTGATCAAAATTTGCCATTACAAATATATCGTGTAATTTGCAACAATTTTCAATGAGTCAAAAGAAAAGATTGGCGGAATAAGAAAGTGAGTTTTGTGTGTAAGAACAAAAGATAGATTCGATTGACACGTCAAGTAAGAAAGAGGTGACACGGATCGCAGATCACAGAAAAGTATTCCGAACCGCCTACTGCTTCCGCGCGGCTCAACGATGGATTAGTATTAAAGAAAAAAAAAGAAGGAAGAGGATCGAAACTCTGAAGTCGCTGCATCGCGAAAAGGAAGAAGCCTACGTGTCGCAACTTGAGATCGAGCGAGGAAAAAAGCGAAGGAGACCGCGGAAGAGCGAGAGAAAGAAAAGGAACGAACGAGAAAAGCTGTGCAAGAGAGAAAGGACCGCGTTGGAAGAGGAGCGAAGGAGAGAGCACGGAGACTGCGTGAGAGTGGGAAAACTCGGCTGTACGGGGGTGAGGCAGAGAAGCGATAGAGCGAGGCCGGCGGAGGGGGAGGCACGACAGAGACAGAGGACGAGGGTTGGTTTGCCGAGCTCAGTTACGCCGCGCCCCTTGCGATGAGCGTTACACTACATGAGTGAGATCGCTGCGTCTCCACGAGAAAGCGATCCCTCCTTTCTTCTTCACTATCATTTTCTTCTTCTGCCACGGTAGTGCGAATAACACGACGCGGTTGATGCGTCGAGAAAAAAAAACTCTTGCTTCGTATAAAAATAGGTAGCGCGATAGATGCACGTGTTTCTCTGTCAAAGAATTAACACGCGATTTCGTCGACATACATCAATATCTGCAATCCTTCTTGCAATAAAAACCGTAATGTTACATAATTTTATCAAGCGTAAATATTTAGGATAAGGAGGATACAAAGGGACCGCAAGATTCCTGTGGTCTCACGCGGAAGGGTGTGTTAAACGCGAATAAATTGTTCGTGCGACCGAGAACACGCGACATGCGTTGACGGATAATATCGTTTTTCGCTGCTGTGTATAATGAACAATGTAATTTCTAATTAACAATGTTGATCGAGTGATGGCCATATTTATTTACTCGAAGGACATTCATCAACGTAAGACATTTTTCAAATCAAAATAGCTCAATCGTAAAGCTGTGCAAATCGTGTGCAATTCACGGAAAAGAACTTGAACTCTCGCCGTTTGAAGTCGAAGCCCATTTAAATTCCGAAAGCGGACGAATACTTGCAACGATGTAGAGGCGGTGTGCAAAGTTTTGATAGATAAGATACTTTTTTTAGAAAGTAAAGATAAACATGATTGAGTGATCGATGCGTGATTTCGCTTGAAAAGTTCTCCGTTAGCGGCTAGAAAGATATGAAGCAACTTTGAAAATCTCTGCTGGTTATGCAAATTCAGATTGGATGAAGCAAAATTAAAGCAGAGGTTCGATTTGGAGAATATTCATCAAAGGTGAGCAATTCATATATTTCCTACGCATGACTTTTAGTCATTTGTCTTATGATCAAAGAATTAATGTACTGTTTTTATGCGCGCTTTTTATTTTGACACAATATTAAATTTTTATTGTTAACGTATTATGTGTAAAAAATGAAATAAACAAATTTTTATATCTCTATATCGGGTTTTTCACAGCAATATTTTCTACCAAAATAAAAAACTTTATATAAGAGTGTGATATAATAGAATTTAATATATCTATGTGAGAGATACGTGATCGACGAGTATAGTTTTGATAGAATAGAAAACACAACGTTACGAATAAATCCGACAAAATTTTTAAAATTGTGCATGCGCGTAAAATTGCGCTAAAAATATATTATATAATTTTTTTCAAATATACATGTACTTGCTGTACAAGCATTGCCTTTTTAACAAATATACGTCGAAAAATATTTGCGCAATTGAAACCGCGAATAGAAAAAGAGCCTTTTCTTTGAAGTAACGAAAAGGATAACACCGAATTCCACATTTGCTCCTAAAACTTTTTTTCAGCCGCAGAAACTGCCTACAGTAAACTAGGTCAAAACACAAAGCGCATTGGCACACTGCATCTATTTACGAACTATGATACCGCAAAAAAAGTAACCGAATAAATCTAAGTTTTCTGGCATTATACGCCGATATTTATGTATAAATCCGGATTTGAATTATCCGCAAAACAGGTCAGTTGTAAGTAGATCTCGGGAAAGCAATTTTCGCGGACAGTGAAGTATCTTTGTTGCGGCGAACAAATTATTACGGACAATCAATTGTATGTTCCGCGGCAGTCAACGCAAGGTAATGTGGACGAATGCGCAGGAAATCGAAGACGGAAACTTGAACGAGCTTTTAACCATCTGGACGGAAACGTCGAGAGCGCAGCAGCCAGTCGAATCTATTCTTTGTGACAGTTCGAACTTGCTCGATTTAGGCGGCCGGGCGAACGAGTTCGAGTTTTAAAAGTCAAGCGTGACTCAAGTTTTCCAGTCAAGTTAGTGGAAGAGAATCATCCTCATGTGTGCGTGTGCGCGACAGTTGTGTATGTCCCGCTATCGAATCATCTATGACGTCTAGGTCAGACGACCAAGACCGATAGAGGAACTTGAACTCGATCACCGACTTTGTCCCCGATTGCCGATTTCCGTCTACTAAACGCTTTATCCTTCCTGCAAAATCAGCCGCCAAACGCCAATAACTAGATGAATCAAATTAGAATTTAATTTAATTTTTTTCAACGCTACGTTATCGTTAACAATTTGTAAGCGTCATATATTTTTTAATAAACTCTGCAAAAATACGACACAAATTATATTTTAGTTAAATTAAATTTTATGATTATTTATTTATTATGAGAATATATTAAATTTCATGATTCTTTTGTCGTAAGAGAATAATGAATAATGTATATCACAAAAACAATTTTTTAGCAGCACACTCTAAATCCGGGATCAAAAGATTAATCATAACAAGTAGTCACAGTAAAAGAAATAATATAAAGATAATCCGCATGTTGAGTTGTCAAGTATTTTTGATACGTTAACGGCATATATTATGTAAATTTCGTTTGCTCAAAGTACGGAATTTCTCTCGAATGGCAGTCGAATAATTTCGATTTTAAACAAATTAAAATCGTTGCGGCTAAGCATTCTATCATCCGATTTGCAGTTTTTCGCGACAAACGGAGGAGACACCGACACTGTGAAAATCCGACGGGCTTTCCGCTTTTTGTCAAAAGATTGGATGATTAATCATGCCGTCCTATATCCTCTTGTGCCCTTCTCTGCCTGTGTGTGTCTACACCTACGCAACACGCAGTTATTTCCGCGCGCACATGCGTCACCCGGTCGTGTACCTTTTAGCGAACGAGAATTCATCAATGTCTAAAACCGGAGTGAAGCCTTCGTGAGTGATTGGCCGCGGCTACACCTTGTCGCTCTCTGTGTTGTTTCATTCCCGAGTCTAATATTTCTGATCTAATAGTCCACTATTTCTGACACACATTTTTAGTTACTTCTGAACTGCGGCGCCTGAACCGAATAAAGATAAATAATCATCAGCAATATCAGTGCTAGTTTTGCATTTAATTTCTCTTGCAATTTATTTTCTGCTGCGTGCTTGACTTTCAAAGAATAATTTTACATTTAATCACACATAAATTATTTAAGTTTGTCATAACTTTATTATCTCCACAAGTTTTCGTCTACGCTTTCAGCTTTAATCAATGTTTCTTAACGAGTTTATGACTCTTTAACGTCACTCAAAACTGTCAATCAATTTTTGCATCAAAATTGCATCTTACCAAATAAAAGAATTCTGATTTTGAAAGAGCAAACTTTTATATTTAATGGCCTCTGCTAAAAGATTGAATTATCGTCACATAGTCGACAGATTTTTTTTATCAGTGACGAAATGATCTTACAAGAACCAATCCTGCAATTACGCCGACTCTCTCCAATACGATTTATAGCTTTAAGCACATAGCTTTACCTGACACATCAACACTGACCCCGCTCAACGATTTCATCGTTTAATCCGCATGAGATAGGTACGTATGATTAGACGATTCGGCGGAAACGGAGAACCATTCAGTATCCCGTGTGCTTATCCGCGCGCTCGCTTAAATGCGCGGCTTCCGCAGCTCATGTTAGCCCGAATTCACTACGGCTGGTCGATGAGCTTATGAGCTTTTCGACACGCGGATCAACGGGATCGAGGTTCGCCGAACAAGAGGACGACATACCCCCAGCATATATGTATCGCGGACGATCGATTTCCGTACCTCAAATCGTTTCCCGATCTCTGATTGAACACTGCCGTGTAATGTCGTACGATATTTAAGTGAAAATACGTCTGCATGCGATTTTCGGTATTATTCGACAGCCGAATTTTCTAAATTTAATTATAATAATCGACATACTCTTTTTCTTTATTCCTCTGAAGAGTGTATGATTTGATAGTACGCAACTTTAAATCTGCTTTAGAAACGAGCGCTTACGAATTTGCACAAAACTGTTGAATTATTCACATTCGTATATTTGTTTTCAGAGAAGATAGTATCGCAACCGTAACTTGCTCAAAATTAATTATGTCGACTTACTTTTAATTAATTTCAGTCCTAACGACATTCGCCGTGAATAATATTTTATACGCGCACTGTATTATAATTGTAACTATATGTCGTTAGAGAATTTTGTATCAAGTTTGTAATACACTACATTCATCGACAAGATAAAATCGTCTAATAATCGAATCATTCAAAGACGATTTTTGCATCATACATCTATTAATTGTGCGAATTTAATAATGTTGAAGATTAGAAAACAATATGCTTTATGCTTATAAGCGTTGCCATTGAAATTACATAATATATGTTTGATAGAGACGTTCACAATGAACAACACATGCTATGCACATGTATAATAGATTAATCATATATCAGGCAGACAGCGTGAAATACAGAATATGTAGCGATCAAATATAGATGCAATTACGTGGAATCGATTGACCGACCGCGTAAAACGGCCACTAGCCATGCTTGTTCTAAGAATTTGCCAAAATATTGCCACTTTATAAATTGAAAAAAGAAACTAAAATTTATTCTACATAATAATCTATTCTAATTTATAATACGTTTTTTTCTGAAGGCAACTACAAGTATCAATGTTAAAGTTTATGTATAAAAGTAACCACTTTGTGATATCGTTTTACATTTTTTTACGTGATTACGTTCCAGTGACAAATTTTTGCATTGCTTGCGCGCGAAAAATTGACTGCGCCGTACTCGCGCGATTTCACGGTGACTGAGTAACATGAAATAGCTTCCCGAAATTACTTTCTCGCGGCGCAATCCGGCGTATCGTTCACTCTCTTTTCACTTAATACGATACAGTTTTGCATCTCTATAAAAGAGTTCAATCAACGAGTAATCAGATTATATCTTGCCGCTTATTCATTTCAGCCAATATTATTCTACAATGAATATTTTCTCGAAATCATGTGACTCGCTGTGTCAAAAAAATATACAAAACTGTAACAACTACATCGAGCATTGTTAGATCACAAAGCACACTAAGTTTAATCAATCATAAACAAATTTTGCACTTTATCTAAACAAACAATACAAAAAAGCTTTAATTCAATTTAACGCCATTCGATTAGATTATGCACACGTTCACAAGTATTACAGGCAATTTTTAGTTTCGCAAGTCTCTCATATTTCGTCGACTGAATAGGCGAGGTAATTACTAAATCCATCACAAAATATCGCAAAAATCAGCAGAACCGCGTTTCCAATATTTCCGCGTATGAGTAAATTGAAGTTGTCGCTTTCAACATATTAAGAGTTTTCTTTTCATTTCTTTCCGCTAAAAATCTGTCGCCTCCGTTCATCTGCGTGTTTGCGACAACGTTTATTCCTCTTATGCCCGATGGTACTTGCTCCAGGATGTTAATTTGCAAACAATTCAGTACAAATCACGAAAGGAAATGAGTTTACTAAAAAAAGGCAACAGAAAAATTCATTTTCCACGCTGTTTGTCCTGGACGTCGTACCGAGATTTCGAGCGCATGGCTGTTTTCTCTGCGTTCTGTGTTATGGGCGCGGGAATTGCGTCTCATGCTCGAATCAAGAGAGACGCGGCAAGTACCCTGGGAACGAGAACGACAAATGAATTTCAGCGTGATTTCAGCTTTGTAGTCTAATTTAAAAGATAATGAGCAGAGAATTCTGAAAATCGCTCGAAAATCTGTCCACTGCAGTAGGCTTGTTACGACTTGTATGTGTCAAGCTTGTAGCTTATATCATTAATTATCCTTTCTATGACTTTATAATCTTTGCGACATTGACATAGTTACGAAAAACTCATGATAAATTATGAAAATGTCAAAGAAGTGTTGAGAAGATAAAAAACTTTATAAATTTTATTAATTTTTGAAAATTATTTACTTAATTATGCAATTGTTTACAAATT